TAGGGTGAAGATAATGTGATAATGACTTATTTTCAGATCTTTCTTGTGATTTTATTACCAACACATATCAACCACCCACTGCAAAGCATGCTTAATTGCTAAAGATTTTGCCTGAAGAACAGAACCTTCAAACTCCAGTGCTTTCACTAGCACCATTACAGCCCCTTGAACAACAAATATCAAACTCATTTGATGTATTTAAACCTAACAAAATAGATAATTACCTAGCCATCATATTCACTCTTAAATAAAACCTCAGATGTAATGAGGACTGGAATGGGGCCTGGAATGCAGCAGAGATGACTAGGATAAAAAAAAATAGTTCCTTGGATATAATACATTTCACCAGGAATGGTTATGGTTTCTTCATTGTGCATGATGACCATAGAAGGAACAGTCTTTGTTAAGTTAAAATTTTCAACTCAGATTATTAAAATGGAATTGAACAGTGGAATCCTTCCACCTACACCAGCAATTCCACAAATGACTTCATATTTTTCACATCTTCTTTTGAATCGGCGTACCTTTGTGGTTTAAACGATTTCCGTAGTCCAACTAAATGCTGCCTCTGAACTTCAACATCTCCTATAAACCTGCCAAACATCTTTTCACACCCTGGATATGGCTTCACATATAAATTATAGAATCTCAGCCTACTCGGCCTTATCAAATCCCTTAACCCCACCTTAAGGCCAAGTGCACCTTTTGATTTCAAATAGTCAATTACTTTGAAACGGGGAACAATTTGTTTGTCAAAATTCACACCCAAATACTCTGGAATCTCAACCAAGCAGCCAATTTCACAGTTCATCCTATTCACCAAAAACTCAATCTTCTTCTCAATGTCACCTATGTTGTATACAATCAACCTAGGCTCTTTCCATAAGACCTTAAATGCTTCTCTACCAGTTAACCCATGTTTGCATAAGCAATCAACTCTGAGTTTCACGTCAAATGCAGCTCTAAATGCTCCCTCACTAAAAATCTTCTCCTTGATTGGAATACGGCATTTCAAAGTTCTCAAAAGTTGCACACACCTTGAAAACTTCCCCAATTCCATGCCCAGAATTCTTGGCTCTTTAACAATCTCTTTGCAAACTTCATTTTCACTAAAACCCAATTCTTGAAACTCCTCAAACAATAGCTTCAGCCTATCTTCAGCACCAACTTGTAAAAAACCTGGATGCAAATAAATAATCCGTTCAATCTCATTTCTTGGAATTCCTTTTCCCACCAAGAACTCAATTCTCCATAAAATTTCACTTTCCTTCATCATGATCAGCTCAGGTAACTCATCCAAAACCTTACTGGCAGTACAAGCACTAAACCCTAAACCCTTCAAAACCCTCAAGCTCTCCAAACATCGATCTGGTTCAATCTGGAATCTCCTAGAAATCTCCAAAACATTCCTAACAACCAACGGAGAGACACCCAAGTCCCCAATTTTCAAACAAACTACTCGCCATTTCTTCAAGAACTCAAGTCCTAAAACCCCAGGGCAGCCAGAAACCAAAGAAACAAGGGATTTCTTTGGAAGTCCAAAAGATGACAGAATAAACAGAGACTTCTCAATGTCATTCAAATTGGATTTCAACAAAAACTTATTTCTTTCAAGGAAACTGCTGAATTGAGATGGAGGGAAGCCATACCTTTGTAGAAGATTGACCAGAAAAAACTGCTTTTTGTTATGGGACTTGTAATGAAATTTGGGAGGGTTTGTGGATTTTGTGGAAAGGAATTGTATTTTGTGATTTGGGAAAGAGGGGATCTTTCTTGAAGCTGATGCAAGGTGATGGAAAACAATGGCTCTGGTTGAAGATGGGATAGCCATGAAAACTTTGGACTATTTCTTGCTTTAAGATGTTTGAGCTTGAAGAGTTACCCTGTGAACTTCCTCTCTCAGCCTCCGATGCAGCTATGCTCTGTTTGAGCATTCTAGCTCTTCCAAAAGCCAACTAAGCCAAGCTGCTAAAACATCACTCCCCATGTGCCCCATCTCAATCTCTAGCGAATCTGAAGGCGTTAAAATTAAAGCATGAGTAAGACTACTCACAAAGTAACATTACACTTCCTCTTAGTTGGGTTAGGCATGCTGAAACCAAATAAAAAGTATTTAAAATAAATATATTTTAAAAACAGTTAATTAAGAGGTAAAGCAGAAATTTATTTTTTAGGACTTTTCTAAACTGATTTTCTACAGAATCAGAACAAGATCAGATACTGACTGAAAAGAAGATCGGATACAATAAAAGAGGTGTCTCCACAGTAAGTCACAGCCACTACTTATACTCCGGCACTACAGTCCCAAAAATAATAGTCCTTCCTGTAATACCGACAGCAAAGTGGTAAACTAGTTTCTATAGAACAGAAGAATGTTAATATATAAGCCCCTTGACAGGATCCCTGTAGTTATAGATGACAACATTTTCAGGCTTAGCTTGAATAACAAAACATTTTCAGTCTTTAGCTTGTATAACAACATCACGTTCAGAACTCTTACAAGAGTAAACTATTTTCTTTGAATTCAACTGGTTTCAAAAATGTAATAAAAAATCTTCACGTAAGCAGTACCAATCAAACAATGTAGGAGTATGCCCGTTGAAGTCATTAGGCCAATAAGGAATTGATTTTTTTCTTACAATTTCAGAGCTCGTCTCAAAGTCTGTGTGCAATAGGAATATTATTCAAACTGTCACAAGGTTCAAATACAATTTAATCCACCAACCTATATCGTTAAGCCTCAATTCTATGAATTACCTTTCAATTTCAACATTTCAAAGTAAACACAGAAATCAATCCTAATCCTACACCTAATCTTACAAACCCACTTCAAACTTCTAAGCAGTTCTTGAAATAACCAAGAAATCATAATTTTATGAAAGCATTACCTTGGATTGATTTCGGTGTGATAGACTGAGCTATGGGTTCTCTTCATTGATTGCAGAAAAAGACTAACAGGATGGACGGCGGGTCTGTTGGAGATGACCGGAAATTTCAGATTCTACTTGATCGGAGGGAGAAGATGCATGGAATTGGTTACCGCCTGTTTCTGCACTATAGTGAAGGGGGAAAAAAAAAATCAGGCTTATATTTAGGGCTAAAAATCTGTCAACCAAGTCTTCAAGTTTAACTTGTCTTAACCTTGAATCCTTAAACTTGTACTCTCTTACACAGAAAGTCCATAAAATTCTTATCCATAGCAAATAACACCCTTTTGGCTAGAACGTAAATATTAAGAGTGGTAGAAAAATCACTGGTATCACTCTCACACCTCCCAGCCATAGCAGTCCATGTTCCTCTCTTTCAGTTGAACAAACCATTACTAGAAAAATGAGTATTTTAGGTTGACTCTTTTTTTTTCTTTTTAACTACTTCTATGTCTAGGGAAAAAAATATTCCACTTATAAATCAATATAAAATAAAAAATAGTTGTTTTTTATTAGTTTGATAGCATTTTTTTAAAACATGTACAACATCAGTTGTAAATAAGGCTTATTTGAGAGTGTTGTGTTATACTATGTTGTGGCATAATATTTACACATGTTATTAGAATTAATAAATGATTTGAGAGTGTTGTGTTATACTATGTTGTGGCATAATATTTACACATGTTATTAGAATTAATAAATGAGATTAATTTTTATTATTATTGTTCTCAATGAATAAATAAAAACAAAATCTATAAAATTGATGTTTGTGATAAAGGAACAAGTGCTTTTTTTTTTTTTTATTAGTATAGGGAACAAGTGCATTAAACTAACCTACTCTTCAAAAGTTTACTAGTTATATTATCTAAGTGTTGTTAGTAGTTATTATTATAGCAAAGTGTAGGTGATCTTTTCACTTAAAACTCTAATGGTACTCAACATGAGTTTTCACTTGCTTTAATGCTATTGAATGTATCTTGGAAGTAATGGGGTACAAGTAATACAATACTCTTATAAGTTAAGAATCATACTTGATAATGAGAGCAATCAAGATAGAATTCACCAAACTTAATAATAAGAGTAAATACCTCATAGTTTTTATAGAAGAAAAATGACTCATAAATTTATAGCAATTATGTGAAAAAAAAAAGTTTCACTACAAGAAAACAACTTATAAATAATAAATAATATTGTCAATTATACTTAAAAAATTATCACATCTTTTATTTGTCAAATAAATTTATCTAAAAAACAATTATAATCAATAACTATTCTAGTCTATAAGTTAAAATTACCTATAAATGACAATTAGTTTCACGATTATGCTTGTTTTCACTTTTGACAAATTAACAATATAATATGCATAACTAACCATACAACTTATTTCTATTAAAGAAAAAAAAAACCAATTCAACTGGTTTTTAAAGTAGTAAATAACGAAACATCAATACGACTTGCTGGTCATAAAAAGAGATGATGATTTAGCCACTTAACATGGCACGTGTTACTGGAAGTATAAAAAGGTACTGAAAATGATGAGTTAGGGTCAAAAAAGTACTAAAAAACGTTTAGAGACAAAATACTATCAAATGACAAAACTGAGGGAGCAAGGTCATTTAAACCATATTTCTTTTAGGTATCATTGATTTGATTGTTCTACTCCCGCAAGTTCCAGGAAAGAATTTTAGAACTCAGGGCCAAAAATGCTGAGACTGCTTGCTCACAAACTAGCTTCATCACTGCTGCAGAACACAGCCACATCTTCTTCTTCCGTTTTACTTCTCCATTCTGTCCCCTACAAAACATTTTCTTCTGTCACTAAAACTCGACGCCTTAACCAACTCCTAAACTCTCCTCCTACGCACCCATTTCACCGCTGCATTCCCCTTCCATGGCGATCACAGCACACTCTTGCAGGGGCAATAGACCGGTTTCTATCGATCCCAGTGGTTGCCAACCGGCTCTTGACGAATTTCTCAATTACCCATTTCAGAATCTTAAGCAGAAGTATCAGTGATTGCAGAGTATGGTTTCTTCAACAGCGTCCTGATTTTAGCCGGAATTTTAGATATCAGAACAGTGGCTGGTATCCCCTTTTGCTTCTCTCATTTTCATTTTCCTATTGGCGCTTGGTTGCTGAGAAATTGTGGTTTGAAATTATATTTTCTGTCATTTTTCTCTGAAAAGGTTCTTGCTTCAAAGTTTTAATTTTGGAGATCATTCTCCTTTTTTCTTTTAGGGTGAAGAAGGAAATTCAGTAAATTAAAAGCATTACTAAGCCTAATGTATTTTTTATCTTCTCTTTTTTAAATGAGTATTTCTATTTTATTTAATGGACTTTTCTCTATGAATTTCGACAAGTTAACGATGATGAGATTGGGAGAAGAGAATTTTATGTTTACCACATTGTTTTTAGGCAAATGAGAATCAATTGAGTGATGATCGGTATTTGAAATTTCTGGTAGATGTTGTAATTTGGGTTTGAGAAACTATTGTTCAGTTTATATGTTGTAGCATCTGCCATTGCAAGTATGCTTGCTTTGTCTGTTAATGGCCTCAGCTAAGTGCCATACTAATATATTCTATTGAAGTAAATAGAAGAATGAATTAAGAATTTTGTTATTTATCTTGACAATGTTTTTTGATGAATTTTTAGTCTAATAAATGCACCACAGATTTAAGTTGATAACACATTGTTGTTGAACAGAAGCATTTGGAAATTCAGTGATGGCAACTACTTGATTTTGCTGTCACTGGAAAAGTCATGCTAATATATAATGCTATTTGCTGCAAAACAAATAATTTTTCATAACACAAGTTCTTCTTGTTCAAGATGTTCTTAAGAGTGATAGCTGTAGACTCGAAGAGGATGTTAGTCATAGAATTGGGGTAGATTGGATGAAAGGAGAGTCGTTGCAGGGATATCATGTGACCATAAGATACATTCCAGGTTGAAAGGAAAGTTTTATGAAGTGGCTATGAGGCAGCTGTGCTTCATTTTACTGGGTGTAGGATAGTTAGAAGAGAACATGCTCTAAGGATGAAATAAATCTGAAATGGGAATACAATGCATTAGATTTATGTGGTCATTCAAGGAAACAATTAAAATTATGTGTCACAACATCAAGCTTGCATTATTGAGGACTAGCTAAGAGCATGACATCTCTGTGCACTGTACACCTACAGATGCTTTGATGTGTGTGTGTTTGGTTTGGTTTCAATAAGAAGGTATGTATAGGTATAGGAGTACAGGTAGGCTAGAGATTACATGGGTTGATGTAGCAAGAAAGTGTTGAAACTCTTTTGGATCTTCATAAGATTATTCTCCTAACCATTTTCTTCTCTTGAAATTATCTCTTTTAATAATCTTGTGAAATACTATAAACTCTTTTCTTAATTTCTTGTTAATAAAGATGGTCATTTTTTTATGCTCCTTGCTTCTTATACCATTTCTAACTATGATTGAAATTTTTGAAAAGTTTTTTGTTTTTTGAATTTTTCTTTAGTAAAATATGTTTCCCATGGCAAAAAGGCATAGTTCTTTTCTGTGTGAGTTGCATTTGTTAGATTTATGAGTTCTAATATATGGAATTATAAGCCTTTATGGTGACAATTGCTTACCAAAGAAACATCATTAACTAAACCATTCTGCAGTTTGGGTTGCATAAAAACATTCCTTGAGGTTGATAATTTATTTTCCCCTGTTTGCAGGAGATCATCATGGTTCCAGCAGCTAACAGCTAATGACATGGTTTTGGGCTTGCTTGTATCTAATGTTGCTGTTTTCCTGTTGTGGCGGATTGCAGATCAGAAATTTATGATGAATAATTTTACTGTGAGTCCTTAGTTTTTAATCTATATGTTAGTAGATAATTTCAATTTTAAATTTATAGAAAATTTTGGAACTCTGACCTGAAAATAGCATTGGAATGTTGAATTGTGAATGAACTTGTAATGAAAATGAACCAATTAGAATGGCTTGCTGTTATAGTTTTCCATAAAAACAAAGCAATAGTTTGCTAGTAGTTTATCTTTTACTCAATTGATTCTTTCTAACAAATTTTATATTTCCTGACCAGATTTCAGTTGAAAATTTTAAAAGTGGACGTTTGCATACGCTGATAACTTCTGCTTTCAGTCACATTGACATTGAGCATATTGTCTCTAATATGATTGGACTTTATTTCTTTGGGATAAGTGTAAGATTAACACTTTGAAATCTCACAGTTTTTTAATTTCTGTTCTTATGGTATCCAGATCTTACCAATGTTCATATTAAATTGGTTATTTCATGATTGATGCTTTATTTAGTGGGTTAATAAAAGTAGAGACTAGAACAGTGCATGAGAAATTGATGCCATCTTAATTTAGTGGTTTGGAATTGCATATCCTAGAAGTTTTCCGAGCCATTAAGATCTGCATTATGCTGAGCATTTGTCTTTTCCTGTCACCTGGTAACATGATGTTTTTGACTAATCTGCCTTTCAATATATAGATAAGTTTAGGCTTCTTTCTGCATTATTATATATTTTTCAAAGTCTTAATTGGTGTGAAACTTCATCAGTGGCTTAGTTTGTTCTGGTTGCCTTATTGTTATCTCCATATTACTCAACCAAATGTCTAATTTTAGCCTACATTGAAGACCCATTATTTATTATGATATTGTGTGGATGATACAATTTAGTTGAATAGGCATGAGTTTTAAATTCTCACTCATTTCATTTCTTTTCCAATAAACAATTAATTATTCATTTTTATTATTATTAAATCAGTCTTCAACTATTTTCCATTTTTATTGATAAATTGAGATAGTTATAGATTAGGTGCTATCATTGTTACTATTATTCTTATTATTTTGATAGCATGGGTATCTGGACCACATTTTGGCCTGACTAATCCCATGGGTATCTACAAACTGCTGGTCCACAGATACTGGATAAATCTTCACCTATGAGTGGCAGGTGTGGTCCATTGGAATCATTGGTACTCAAATGGAAGTGGTGCACAATGCTATTATTGATATTATTCATGCAATTTAAACATGCCAAATTTCATTTGTTTCTTTCTAATGCAACTTCACTGTTTTTCCTTTTCCTCTTAACAGATTGGAAACACCTTTGGACCTCAATATTTGCTCAAGTTATATCTGGCTGGGGCAATTGGAGGATCAGTGTTCTACTTGGTGCACCATGCATATTTGGCTTTAGCATCAAAGGTGAAGGAAAGAACTGCATATCTGCTATGCTACTACTATCAAACTTCAGGAAATAGTATGCTATCTAGCTGCATGTATCAAATATTGGAGGAACCTCTAAACTTCTTCACTAGTGGCAATATCCCTTACAGTTTTTTGGAGGCAAATCAGCCCCTCAATTCATGAAATTTTGGGAATACACACAGATTGGACTCAACAGTCACGTGCTGTATGTGACAGTGAGTGCAGCATTTACCTTTATGTTACCATGGTGATTTTTTTCCTGGCATTGTGGTCTTTATGTGGGAAGAATCCTGTGATTTTCAAGGGCAAGAGTTTGGTTTTTTACTTGAGGGTGAGATTCTCCTGGCACAAAGACTGCCACATAGAGAAGAGAAAAAAAAAACTCCACATTAGCAAGAGGTAAACAGGGAGCACTGCTATTAAAAGAGAAAAAGAAAAAAGGAAAAAAAGGAAGCACTAACATTCACATGCTGCATGTGACTGTTGCCACCAAATTTAGGTGGACTTTTGCAAGTTGAGAAGTTGAGAGGCTGGTTTACCATCAAGAAGACTATAAGAGCTCAATTGCCAATAGTGAGTAAAGTTTAAGGGCTTGTTTGGAGCCTTTTCCTTAAATATTTATACTCTTTTGGTGTAATCTTTTCGCTCATATATGCTATCTTCCTGTGATCTGATTAAAGGTTTTCTAATTGAATGTGACACATCATTATGCTGTTAATTATATGAGAATTCTGATCATACTACAGAATTAAAAACCTCTAGATTGGTTACTCTAGTATGAATCCAGGTGGTTGTGCTTATGATGACATTTATTCCTTTTTTCTTAATCATGTCTTCTAGTCTTTTCTCACTCACATGTCCACAGGGACACACAGGGTGGAGGATGGACCCATCCAAGACCCCAGGATTGGTATGCTTTTTCCCTCCATCAAGTGCTCTCTATGTTTCTGTCTTTCTTTCTTTCTTTTTTCTTCCCATGTGAGAGTAAATGCTAATAGTGCCATTTGTTGTTCACATTCAGAAAAAATATGCGATTCCCGAGCAGTATTGCGCCCTGTTATCTTTTATTGTCAATTTAATATATATTGAAATGCTTAGACAATGAAAGTTTGACATGAAAGATAATGCACCTTTATCTGTAAAATTCCATCTGTTTCATCATGGTATCTAAGATTCTAGGTTGGCGTTTAATATTTTAAGCCATCATTCTATTTTCATCTAAGAGTTCAGATTTCTAAGGACAGCTTCTTTTTTACTATGTATTATCAGTAGGTTTCTCACTAGATTTTTAGTAGTTTTCTATGTCAGATTTCCTAAGCTTAAGAAAAAATGGACTTCAGTTCTGATAGTTTTTCTCTTCTTCTTAGTAAGTGTGCTTTTCTGTTCTTTCTCTTACCCCTTCCTACCTCTAACCAAAACTTGAGTTCATATCACATGCTTAGGAAAAATGCTTTCTTGGATACTTACACATTTCCTTAATCAGGAGAGAAACTAGTTGAGTATCTTGAGGGAATGTTTTCACCATGCTGCTCTTGTTTTTATACAATGGAAAGGAAATGCAATTAAAATATTTAAACAGCTCATGGATTGCATACATGACTGTGTTTATCATTTTCAAGTGAGTTAAGTTCATTTATTTTGAGATTTCATTAACTTATGCTGCTTATGAGATGTAGGGGGCAAGTGGAGCTGTTAATGCTATCATGCTGCTTAATATATTCCTAAATCCAATGGCTACTCTTTATTTTGACTTCATCATACCTGTTCCTGCCATGTTGCTGGTAAAGCTTGCTTCTAAATCATATCAATAGAAAATAATTCGAAAGGCATAAAAAATCTTAATAAGGTTTTCCTGTTTAAAATCTTTTCCAGGGCATCTTTCTAATTGGAAAAGATTTGTGGAGAATGACAGAGGTATGTCCAATTATCTCTCAGTAGCTATTTTTCTTTCCATTAACCATCCATCTTTCCTTGCATAACTCAAATCTTAAGCAACTTAAAAATCAGGTTTTGGCGTATGGTTCTTGGAGGAAAGAAATATTCAATCCTATTGAAGGATTCAAACTATGATATCGTCAGTGAATACAGATCATTGATACCATGATATTGGCTAAATGATCTCACAACATCTTGGTTTTTTTTTTTTTTTTTTTTTTATTTCGGACATTCAATTATGGATGTTTTTGTTATTGCAGGGAAATAATCATATTTCAGGGGCAGCTCATTTGGGGGGTGCCGCGGTTGCAGCCATAGCCTGGGCTCGAATTAGGAGGGGTCGCTTCTAATTTTCTAAATTCATATTAGTTTTGGTAAAACCTTGGTCTCCCAATATTGATGTTAGTGACTGCATTCTAGTAGTGTTTTTTTTGGGCCAGCATTCTATTAGTGTTTTTTTTTTTGGGCCAACATTCAAGTAGGTTTATTCCATTTTCTGCTTCTTCCAACCTTGAACCACAATATTGGCCATTGCATATGAATTTATCTTCTAAAATATAAAATAAGGTTGGTATTGCCTTACTGAAAGTGTTAAGTCATGATATTCCTCTACTCTCAAATGGGTCTCGCAGTTGGACAATTAGGGATTACCTCCTGAAAACGAAGGTGGGAAGAAAAGTTCTGATCGAGAGTTGTGTCAAGGGCAAAAAATACGCTAAAAATTATAATTCCATCCTTGGTATGGAATTGAACCATGTAAATATCAAAATAATCTTCGCTATTTTTTTTTTTTCTTTTTTTCTTTTTTAAGTTGAATCATGCGATTCTATTGATAGAAATGAGTAGAGATTACAATGAAATAATGTTATATAGGCACTCAATGATAAACTTCTTCTATTAAAAATAATCTTAATTCAAATTGTATAATATGTAAATGGAGTGAGTTAAAAGAAAAAATAATAATTTTTAATAATAATCTTGAGGGTCCTATTTAACATTAAAAAGGATTCAGAATTAGCTTCTTTTTTGTCAAGCTAAGTTTACTGTACTAGATGTAATTAATTGCAACTTCATCAAAAAAATAAAATAAAATAAAATAAAGGGAAATGTCATTCTTGATTAAGTTAAGAGACACATCATACTTCTAAAACCTCTATTCGGAATGCTAGATTCTTTAGTTTTTGCTATTTTTTCCCTACCACCGACATGAGATTTTTTGCTTTCTCTCTTTGCTTCAATCATCAACTGGTGCTTGTTTTCTGTTCCATTGTTTATGCCTTAGAGCAGTGGAGGTGGTTGGTACTTCAGCAGAGTTTATGTTCGGGGATGTGGCAAATCTAGTTGAGGATCCTAATCCGGTGTGTGATGGTCGTGGATGGATGTTGCCTTTTGCTCCATTGCGGTAGTTGCTAGCAGGCAGCAAGAGGTGAATGGCAAGTTCCAGTACGGTCGTGGAGAAGTAGGGCGAGGATAAAGGCCAAATATCAAACTTGATAAAGGCATAGAGATGGTTTAGTGGCTAGCAATGGAAAGAGCTTTCAAGAATGGTCATGGCTTGGAGCTTGATTGTTGAGAAACCTTGGCAACGACGAGGGCCAGATAAGAAGTGATTCTCCATATGAGGAAGGAGTGAGTCAGTGAGATTTACATTTACGTATTGATAACCCTAATTTTTTTGAAAGTTGCTTGATTTCGGTTGGATTGTATAGAAGTCAATTTTCTATTGTAATTAATACAGTTTGATTTGTTTCCAATTCTATTTGAGGAAGAAGTTGAGGAGTGATTACCTCACCATTCAATAACATTTAGGGCATGTATGGTTAGGCAACATTCCCCGGATTCTTCTCGGATTGTTGTAACTTGGCAACACTTACTAGTGTTTGGCAACCATACCTTTCTAGGAAAGTTAATTATCCTGTAAAAGGATTTTGGGATTCTCTCAAAAGGTCCTTCCCAACAAAAAACCTAGAGGAAAACTCTCCAAGGTTTTTGAGCTTTTATAATTGATTACATTGTTTTTGTGATTGATTACATCTGATTCGATACTTGGAAAATTCATTGTAGTCACAAATTTTGTAAAATTAAATAATGTATATTGATTTATAAAATAATAAATACAAATCGAAAAAGTGAAAATCAAAACATCCTAGCGTCAGGACATCCATCATAACCATTCGTTAAGTGGGCCTTTGACTATGACCCACTTAATGAATGGTTGTGATGGAACATCCTAACACCAAGATGTCTTGATTTTTCAAATTCTAAATAGAAATTACAATGAATTTAAAAGAATTGAAAATAATATCTAATTTAGGATGTTGCAATGCATATCCTCAAACTTTAAGTAGTGACTTGTCTTGAAACAACATGATTCTCTGATTGATAGTTGGATTTAGGGTCTATTTGGTATAACAGTTAAAATTTAACGAATAGCGGATAGCAGGTAACGGATAGCGGATAACGGATAGCGGATAGCGGATAGCGAATAACAGATAATGGGTAGCGGATAGCAAATTCTTCTCGGATTGTTGTAACTTGGCAACACTTACTAGTGTTTGGCAACCATACCTTTCTAGGAAAGTTAATTATCCTGTAAAAGGATTTTGGG